CACTTATAGAGACAACACTTTCTTAGGTGGGGATTCCAACATTTTGCGATCCTGGCTATTCAGCATCGACATCAACATTATTACAAAAAACTTATCATCTAACTTATCTTCCATATCATACTCTCACTCAAACAAGCAATCACTCTCTTCATGACTGTCACTGAACCTTTTGAAACAATATCAAATGTCCCTCCATAATGAAGACATGTGGTCATATATCTATTTTCAGCTCATGAAAATGTATACAAACAATTAAAAAAATTCTTTAAGTGAATGTGTCACCATTTTCCACTATTAAGTAAGGTAAAGAAATTAAACAAAATAAAAAATTGTTCCATGATTCTCCCATCCCACATTCCTACATGTTGCGTAGTTTTTCAAGAAAGCACAATGCATACAATACAAATGCACACACATCAAAGAAGGACCACATAATACAACATCAGCCTTCCTCACCACATAATTAACCACATAAATTCATTGAGAAACTTCCCTTTGGGGGTAAAAAAGAATATAGAATTCTTGATTGTTCAGATCTTAGTCGACGTATATGTACTGGTCGTTGTAATCTCATGGACCAGATCATTTTCCACCAAAATTCCGATTTATTCTCAAAGAGATGAAAAATTAGATTAATCATTCTACTCCAATCGATTTGAGAACGTTCAATCAATTTGAGAACGCACAGACGAACTAATGTCCCTTTTAAGTTTTCGATGAAAAAGTGCATGTACGGTTCACAATTGCAATTCTGCACGTGGGAAATGAAGCAAATACGTCGGCTTGTTCAGTGGCGGTCGCTGTCAGATTTGGGACAACATTTAGCTGCAATGTGAATCAGAAAACTAATTATTTTTTTCGGCTGAATATTCATAACGCGACACGTCAACTTTGTCTTCTTTTGAACACGTTGTCAAAGTTTGATGGTCAATCATTTTCTTCCTCCACCCTGATCCTACATGTATCGCTTTATCGGGCCTCGACTAAATATCCAATTTCTAATAAAAGGTATTTTATGTATTTATGTTGCTAAAATTAAAACATCTCTGCAAACTGTAAAATTACAGGCAAAAAAATTTCAAAATGCATGCCACTTTGTTTCTTGACAACATCCTTTAATGCCTAGAAACTTTGTACTGATGTTCAATTGTTAAAAGAAGCCGATTTGTCATAAATAAAACAAGATCAAATTCAATTCTAGAAAAAAACTTCATTGTTAGTCTTATGTTATTGACTTTTTTTTCCATATAGATTGCATACTGTCACATTCACTTGTATGGATGTATATTGATCCAACAATAAAAAGAAATTCGGTAATGACATTATTCCAACCGATATTGTTGAATTTCACTAAAAGCACATTTATTCTATTCAATACCATATACATTTTCTAATAAATAGACGATCATCATCTATATTAATTGTTGTTTTATAGTAGTATTTATTTATTCACATGGATTGGTACTCAGTAAATTATTTTATGAATGACTCATAATCTAAATATATTTATAGCATATTATGTAAAAAATAATATGCAAAAGAATTTAATTGTATTAATCAAATCCATAGTTGGTTTTTGTAATTGACAAAATCTAATGAAAATGATTTATTGATTTTTCCCCTGGCTTTTCCCTTTGAGCGCGGGTGGGGCCCGGTTGCTGGTCAATCCAACTTAAAAAAATAAAAAGTAAAGTAGAACTCGGTCACTTATGGACGATGAGTCAATTTCAATCTTCCAAATGAACCTGTAATAAAATCAAACAAATCCACCCACACAATTTCCTCGCTAAAGGCTTCTCCTCAACCCGCAGCCCTTTGACTCCTGTGTTTTAATACTCTGAAACANAAATCCCTGTAAAAACATCAATTCTCAAATTTAAGAAAAAAAAAGAAAAGAAAAATGTACCTTGATTTTAGATGCCGTCACCTTCATTTGCTTCTACACTGTTTCTCAGTAGCCGGTTTTTTCGTCCTCAGCTTCGCCTCCGACCGAATCACGACCGGCCAGTCAATCCGAGACGGCGAGACTCTAATCTCCTCCGGCGGAAGATTCGCCTTCGGATTCTTCAGCCCGAACAACGACCCGTCCGCCCGCTACGCCGGAATATGGTACAACCAGATCGCAAACCGCTCCGTCGTCTGGGTAGCCAACCGCGAATCCCCTGTCCCCGCCAACGACGCCGTTTTATCCCTCACCACCGAGGGCAATCTCGTAATTTCCAATAACAACACCGGCCAAATCCTCTGGTCCTCCGCTGCCGCCACCTCCACCCTCCCTCCTCCGCCCAACTCCACCCTTATCCTCATGAACTCCGGCAACCTCGTCCTCCTCGCCGCAGCCTCCGAAACCGTCCTGTGGCAGAGCTTCGACCACCCGACCGACACGTACCTTCCCGACATGGAAGTCCACATCAGCACCCGAGACAACGAACAACGCGTCTTCACGTCGTGGTCGGGCCCGCTCGACCCGTCTTCCGGAAACTTCTCGATGGGAGTCGACACGCGGGGCCCGCCTCAGATCGTGATCTGGGACGGGCCCCGCCGCCGGTGGAGGAGCGGCCATTGGAACGGCCTCGTCTTCACCGGCGTCCCCGGGATGCGGTCCTTCTACCGGCTCGGTTTCCGGCTGAACGAGCGCGACGGACAGTTGTCCATCACGTACGAGACGCCGCCGTCGAGCGGCTCGGAATTGGTCAAATTTAGGTTGACTTGGGAAGGAGTCGAGCTCCAAGAGAGGTGGGTCGAGGAGAGACGAGAGTGGGAGGCGTTTTACCGGCACCCGGTCGACGAATGCGATTTGTATAACTATTGTGGGGATTTCGGGATGTGCCGGTTGTTGGGAGAAGAGGGTCGTGAGGACAGGTGTCGGTGTTTGGAGGGGTTTGAGTCGAGAGGGAATAATCGGGTGGCCGGGGGGTGTGTGAGGAGGGTTGGGCTCGGGTGCGAGACGGATGGGTTCTTGGAGGTGAGGCGAGTGAAGTTGCCGGATTTCGTGGATTATGTGGGGTCAGAGGATGTGAGGGGTTGCGAGAGTTTGTGCGCGCGGAATTGTT